GTTGGGAACCACTGATGTAAATAAACCAGTGCAAAACCAGAGGTGGTGGAAATGTTTATAAATTAGTGTGAGCATAAGATTCGAGCTGTTTAAATATAACAACTCACTTTGGTCCTCTGTGGTCCACACTGCGCTCAACCACCTGGAGCAGAAAGACTCTTACGTCCGTATGCTCTTTGTGGACTTCACATCTGCCTTCAACACCATGATTCCCCAGACCCTGATGGACAAACTATTCACACTAGGACTAAGCCCCTCCATTTACAACTGGGTACTAGACTTAACAAACAGACCACAGTCAGTGAGGATCCACAACCTCTCCTCTTCCACCATAACCCTCAGCACTGGCTCTCCTCAGGGATGTGTGTTGAGCCCTCTCCTGTTCACTCTGCTCACTTATGATTGTGCAGCTACCCATCCAGGCTGTCATATTGTAAAGTTTGCAGATGATACAGTGGTGGTGGGATGCATCACAAACAACAATGAGTCCAGCAACAGGCAAGAGGTGGAACACCTGGAGAGCTGGTGCAAAGAGAATAACCTTCACATCAATGTGAAGAAGACAAAGGAGATGATTATGGACTTCAGAAGGAACAAACGCACCTATACCCCCCTGAACATAAGAAGATCTGCAGTGAAAGTGGTCTCCAGCTACAAGTACTTGGGTGTGCACCTGAATGACAACCTCAGCTGGGGCAACAACAACACCAACCTGATCAAGAAAGCTCAACAGAGACTCTACTTCCTTAGGCGGCTGAGACGAGCTGGACTGGGAAGCTCAGTCCTCACCTCCTTCTACAGGTGTGCAGTGGAGAGCATCCTGTGCTGCAGCATCAACGTGTGGCATGGAGGCTGCACAGCTGCAGAAAGAAAGGTTTTGCAGAGAGTGGTGAAGGCTGCACAGAAGACTGTTGGAGTCAGTCTCCACACCATCACAGACATTTACACCTCTAGATGCAGGAAGAGGGCCACCTGCATCATGAAGGACCTCACTCACCCAGCACACACACTTTTTGCCCCGCTCCCCTCAGGAAGGAGGTTGAGGAGCATTAAGTGTAGAACCACTAGACTGAGGAACAGCTTCTACCCTAAGGCTGTTAGACTCATGAATCTCTAACCAGGATAACCACTGTGAAAAATCACATCATGTTGCTGCTGATCTGTTTCATGTTGATGTGTTCATGCGTGCTCATCTGTTCACACAGACTCATGCTCATGTTCGTGATGCTGTTCAACGTAATGTTTTTATGCTATTAGTGCTTAGTGTATTTTTACTTGATGTTTTTCTTAGTTCGTATCTTAGACGTTATTACTGTTTTTCTTTTACATTTTATTGTTGGATGTAACTGGGACCCTGTGTACATAATTTCCTTCCACCACATGTACCACATGTGGTGCCAACGACAATAAAGAATCTCTGACTCTGACTCTCGGGTCCCAGGTTAACCATTAGCTCTGTTGTCCAATCAGAACTAACGTTTATTCATACAAGTGAAGGTTTCACAGAACTGTGGACAACTGGACCTTTACTGCGGTGGTTCCCAACCCTGGTCCTTGAGGAACACCATCCTGCATGTTTTAGTTTATTCTCTGCTCCAACACACTTCAGTCAGTGTCAGTGATTTAATTACTTAAGTTTGGCAGAAGCCTGTTAGTCACCCTTTCATTCAACTCAGGTGTGTTGGAGCAGAGGAACAAACAGGATGGTGTTCCTCAGGGATCAGGGTTGGGAACCACTGCTTTACTGTATTGAAACATGGCAGCACGGTTTTTATTGTCTACGTAGAATCAAACCTTTGTCTCCCAGTCGTGAAATATGAATTAATCCTGCTTTTGTGTGCACAGGGGTTGTGGGCGGGGGTGAACGCCGCGCGGTGCTCACTCTCCATGCCTCCAGTGGCACTGTCCCGGACAGAGAGCTACATCGGAGTTCTCATTGATGATCTGGTGACTCGAGGCGTCACGGAGCCGTACCGCATGTTCACCAGCCGGGCTGAGTTTCGGACCTTGCTGAGGCCAGACAATGCTGACCTCCGCTTGACCCTGAAAGGTAGTTTAACCCCACCCAAAAAAATGTTCTGATTTTCCATCTAACTGTCTTCCTCTGTCAGGGTTTGAGTTGGGGTGTGTGTCCCCAGCGCGCCACCAAGAGGCTGTAAGAGTGAAAAACAGCCTTCAAGAGTTGACGGCTGCCCTCCAGGCTGTCTGTCTGTCCACGACCAGATGGAAGAAAGTGCTGCCCAACATCGGCATAAGTGACTCCAAGCAAAGCTTGCTGACGTGAGGAACATTTAAAATCACTAGAGCCTTGGCTTGTATCAAATATCTCTGGATGCTTCTTGATTCCAGTCTCTTTTTTTCTCCCAGTGGAATGGAGATTCTCTATTACAAGGACGCATCTTTTGCAATGCTGGCTTCTGTTTTCCCAGAGTGCCTTTCACCTTACACAGAATTTGCAGAGAGAATCAAAATAGAGGGTAAAAAATGACTTTTTGTAGAATTTGTTGTGGATCTGTGAACCACGGTGAATTGTTTCTCAGTCAAACACATCTGTTGTGCAGCTGTGTACAAGCCTTACTGCGACCTGAACAGGAGAGAGATCGAGAGAATCCAAAAGGAGGAGAACATGTCTCTGTCGCAGGACATCGATTACTTCTCTCTGCCGGTGTCTCTGTCTCTGGAGGTCAGAGAGGCCCTGGACAGAGCTCGCCCGAGCACCGTGAGTCTCACACTATGAGCCTGTTTCTCTTTATTCTCCTTTTCTTCCATACCATTTATTGTCGTCTGCAGGCTTTCTGCTATTTTAGCCATTCAAATGTCAAAAAGTTCAGCTTATTCAGAACAATCCAGGTATGACGTTTAAGTTTTAATATTTTGAAAGGGAACAAAAATTACAATCACTTAATCTCCAAACATTTTTCTCATAGAAATACTTTGAGATTTCATCTGTTCCTTCAAAGATATTCTTAGAAATCTAATTCGGCATACTGGTGCTATTTTTGTTTTCTTTTGCTACTTTTAGCTCTGAGCTAATGTTTTGCTAATTTTGGCTCTCAGCTAATATTTTTATGCTTTTAGTGTTTTGTTATTCTTAGGTAGCATTTTGCTACTTGCGACTAACCTTTACCTTTTTTCATCTATTAGCTAGCATTTTGCTACTTGAAGCTTTAAGCTAAACTTTAGCTGTGCTTTACCTTTTAGCTAGCATTAGCTAGTGTTTTACTGTTTCATATTTTAGAGTTTTGCTACTTGAAGCCAACGTTTCTCTACTTTTAGCTAGTCTTCTGCTTCTTTTAGCTTTAGCAGCTCAGTTTCAGCTACTTCAGTAAATTTCTTCAGTCACTCGTATCAGAAAAAAAAAAAAAAAAATCTATATAT